TTATTTATTTTGTTTACATTTCCATTGATAACCCTTTGTGACACTAATAACTTTTATTAACAACAATTTGGCAACAGGTTCCCTGGACTTGACCAATAGAAAGAAATTTGTCGTACAAATTTTCAAAAACAAATAATTAATTATGTTATATAAACAACAAAATTTATGTTGATAAAATTTTCAATCGAAAAAAAAAACAATTTTAAATTCATGGCAATCTTTCCAAGAAAGATGGATTGACAACGAAAAGGTAGTTAATTAATTGAAATAATATTTATGGCGTTTAATTTGAATGCTAGCCCAAGAGATACGAATACATTATAGTCAAAACACGTTTTTTAATTGTCACGAAAAAGAAACTAGTATCAAATAAATATGTTTGTTTGTGTTTGCCGATTAGTGTCTACAAAATTGCAATTTATTTATAAACATCCCGCGACACATTTATAAAAAAATTGGAGATTTTAATAAATACTTGACGAAAAAAAGAACATGCCTGAAATTCAATGACAATTTATTGATTCCGGAAGTAGATTCCGGTGCAAATAGGTGTAGAGTACATAGATAAATATGCTTATGTATTAAACGTTTTATTTCTGAGTTATGTCCTATCCAATAACACAGTGCCATATACTAATGAAGATAAAGAAAACGAAAGTTTTTAATATCGGTTGCTAACAGATGTCGCAACAACAGATTTTGCGCGGTCAGTCACAGTTAAACACATTAATTGAATCTTCAATAATTACAATAATTTGATTGAGTATTTTTCTATGTTATCATGTTTGGCACAGTTTTTCTATTCTCCGGAAATATTTTAAATTTGCCGTACCTCCCTAAATTCATTATTTTGGTGATTTTAGCAATACTATTCACAGGAATTGTTTCAAATTTTGTATTTCAAGTACCTAATGGCTACCACAGTCTATGTCAGAAAAATGTATATGTGGGTCCAGGTCTTTGTATACGGTATTATTATAATTTATGCATCATTTTTCAAAGCATTTTTCCTTCGAAAGTTCTACCCGGCCGAACTTACTACACCTAATGTAACTAAGATTATATTTTCGAAACAATTAGAACGGTCCGTCCGTCCGTCTGTCCATGTATTTTTGTAAACAAAGTACAGTTAGCATTTATTGCCCTATCCAGATGAAATTTTGCACAAATCATTTGTTTGGCCCAAGGACGAACCCTATTGAAATTGGAGATAATCGGTCAAAATTTAGATATAGCTCCCATATATATCTTCGTCCGATTTGCCTTTAATTGTACACCAAACGTGTAATATCAGTCCGAATAGTATGGAATTTTGCACGTACAATCAGATTGGACCTGAAAATAAGTATACCAAATTTGATCGAAATCGGTTCAGATATAGCTATAGCTCCCATATATATTGTTCATCCGTTTTGTTATTTTTGTCCTCCGCAGCCGTAATATGTACTCTGTAACAACAATATTTGGGGAAATATGTCAAATGCAGCTCAGAAATATATTTCCTAAATTTTATCAAGATCGGGATCGAGATCGTCCGATTTACCTTGAATTGTGCACCAAACGTCTAATATTTGTCCAAATTGTATGAAATTTGGCACTTACGACCGAATTGAGTCTAGAAGCTAGTATGTCAACTTTGGTAAAGATCGGTTCAGATATAGCTATAGCTCCCATATATGCTGTTCATCCGATTTGTCATATTTGTTACCCACAGCCGTAATATGCACTCCGTAACAACGATACTCAGGGAAATATATCAAATACAGCTCAGAAATATATTTGCCAAATTTTATCGAAATCGGTTCCGATTTGGATATAGCTCCCATATATATTTTTATCCGATTTCAAATTAATTGTGCACCAAATGGGCAATACAAATCCGAATTTAAAAGATACAAATGCTTCGGCATATTTAGTTCTTTGAACCTTAAATTATAATTATAATCATAGCGTGTATGATTGAATTCTCCCATAAAAACTTTTAATTGTTATGCGCAGCTCTACTAAATTTGCAAAGTGGTGTAGGGTATCATAAAATCGGCCCCGCCCGACTTTAAGACTTTCTTTAATGGTTTTCTGTATAAAATTTTGATTTTGGATCCTCGAGAGTAAATCATCTATACTTATAAAAGAGTAAAGTGATTGACTGGATGACTCACTGATTTAAAGATTCATCAACGCCCAGACGAAATGTTTTATGCTAGAATCTAGATATTTTGATTGCGGGTCGCTTTTGTTCCAAACTTCCAAATAAGGTTCGGCTTTTGGAAATTCGTAGAAGAACGGTACGAAAAGTACTAAAAATGGTACAGCTAGAAATCTTTAATTTGGAATAAGGGTCACTATTGGTGTGTATGATGTATGGAAATTCGCACTAATAAGTTAACGAAAGATATTTGAATTTGAAATAAAACTAGAGGAGTGTAGGAATGGTATATGGAGATAGTTTTCGAAATTTATACTTATGTGCACGAAAAGTAATAATTGGTACTAAATTTGGTACAATTCCGATTTGGGCGAACCGATGGGTCTAGAATGTTGAAATTTGGAAATTAGATTACTATTGAATTGTAAGACTGAGGAATGTAGGTAGTTTTGAAAACTCGTACTTTTATCTACTAAGTAGTACTAATTTGGTACATTTTCCTGAAATTTGGAAATAAGATTACAGTGGGAGTGTAGGATTGAGATATATAGGTAGTTTTGGAAATTTGTATGTATATGTACTAAATGGTACTAAATTTGGAACAATTTAAATTTAGGGAGAACCGGTAGAATTGGAGTCTTGAAACGTCGAAATATGAATACGGTAGGAGTGTAGGATTCCTTAAGTTTGGAAATACGATTACTGTGAGAGTGTAGGATTGTGATATATAATTAGTTTTGGAAATTTATACTTATATGTACTAAATTTTGTACAATTTAAATGTTGGGAAAACCGGTAGAGTTCAAGACCTGAAATTGGGAAATAAGATTGCTATAGCAGTGAAGGATTGGGATATGTAGAAAGTTTTGGAAATAATGTGTACTAATGTGTATCTGTGTTTGAAATTTAGCGGTGGTTTGGAAATGCGTCCTATATTTGTGCGAAAGGTACTAAATGGTACTAAATTTGATATTTGGTGAAGTTATAGGACTGAAATCCTGAAATTGAATATTTACATTACTGATGGTAATGGCGTTCATTTTTGAATGCAACCTATATTTGAACGAAAAGTGCTAAATGGGACTTTATGTGGTATTGAGTGAAGGATACGACTGAAATCCTCAAAATTCCTATTAAGATAGCAACATAGACATTGATATGTGGAATTGAGATATGAAGGTGGTTTTTGGAAATGTGTACTAATTGCATGAATGATACTAAATAGTACTATTTTTTTTTTTTAATTTTTTTTTTGGGTGAAGTAATAGACCTGGAATTCCGAAATTTGATATTGAGGTCTCTGTTGGTATCTGGGATTGAGTCACGGAGATTGTTTTGGAAATGTGTATTATAATTGTACGAAAAGTACAGAATAGTACTAAATTTGGTATTGGAAAGGGTATACAGCTGAAATCCTGAAATTTGATATGGATGTTAATGTTGGTGTATGTAGCTGAAAGAAGCATCAAATTTTGAAATACGTAATACAATTGTACTAATGGATAGTAAATTTGGTAATGGAGGATATTACAAAGCTGAAATTTAATATTAAGGTCACTGTTGGTATCTGAGATTAAGTTACGGAGATTGTTTTGAAAATTTTACGAAAATAATTTTATATTACTAAATTCGTATTATGTGAAGTGTTTTTGGAAAATCGTACTATGAACGTACGAAAAGTGCAATATGACAAAAAATGTGCCGTTGATTTTTGGTATAGATCTGGAATTCTTAAATTTGGTATCGAAGTGGCAGTCTATCCATGTTAATTTGTAATCACGCTACTGCTCGAAATTATGGTTCGATCTTCACAAAATTTTGCATTGAGTGAGAGGTAGGGTCAGAATGGGGTGTTACTGTTTATGGAGATCATTTTGAAAATGTGTGAAAATGTGTACGAAAATAATTTAATTTTACTAAATTCATATTATGTGAAATGTTTTTGAAAAATCGTACTATGAGCGTACGAAAAGTGCAAAATGACAAAAAATGTGGAGTTGATTGTTGGGATAGGGATAGAATTCTGAAATTTGGTATCGATGTGGCAGTCTATCCATGTTAATTTGTAATCACGCTACTGTTCGAAATTCTAGTTCGATCTTCACGAAATTTTGCATTGAGTGAGGGATAGGGTCAGAATAGGATCCTACTGTTTCTGAAGATCTTCGCAAAATATTAAAGTAGTGAAATATACCCAACTCTGAAATAAACCAAAACTGATATTTGAAGTATGAATCCCAATATCTTTCATTCCAGTCTAAAAGGTTTCAGATCTTCAGAAACTTTACCGTAAATTATAGCATTGTAGGATACCCCATGGCCCTACTTATTTGTTTTGTTGTGGGTATTTGTAGAAACCTCCACAATAATATCAGCCAAAGAGTCGCGAGGTAACACTGATAATCTACTTACTTATACCTTTAACCTAAACGCTTGGAAGATTCTAGGTTTTGTTCTCACATTGTGAGATTGTGTTGTTTAAATGTCCTTTTTCACATGTATCCAAATAAGATTTGACTACGAAGAACTTTAGGAGGCACCAGATAAAATATATTCCACCGGTAGGTCCAACTATCCCGATCCTTTCAATAAAAATTATTTTTGGAAAATTTAACTTATTATCCGGGTCAATATATTTTTAAAACTCGCAATTTTTGATATAACTTATAATTAATTTCCATTGAATCATTTCATTATTTCTTCTCTTAGATTTTTTTAAATATTTTTTTTCAAGTCCAAAGTTCCCAAATCATTTGATTTCAATTTGTATATGTATCTGAGTTTTTGGCTTTCTTTGCCTTAAACCCATTTATTATCCAAAATATATAAGCGATTTGAATATTTAATGGCGTACTTTGAATATTTAATTAATTACTTTGAAATTGCTGTTTGATGTTTTAAACTCGGCAACGTTGTTTGGGCTCCGCTTCACCTTTCTGGTTTTGGTATTATTTAATAATTCTATCCCAAACTTTATTTTTTACTAGGAACTTTATATTTTCACAATTGCATGATATTCGAATATTTACAATATTTTTTTATTTTACACAGTATTTGTTTTGGTTTTACAATTCTTTTTTTCTATTTTTATTTCCGTCATTCAAAATTGCATGACAATCACCGAATATCACTTGACAAACAATAGCTTGTTTTTCGTTTACTTTTTGCAAATTCGGAATCAATGTTTTTTTTTTTTGTTTGGTTTTTGGGGATATTGTTTTTCGATTTCCAGCGCCTGGTCTATGCCATCGAAGAGGACCAGAGATCAACTGTTGATGTCGGCTTAAAGTCAGTGACTAAAATTTGCAATATGTCGTTAAGCTTCAGCTACCGTTAGCTCTAAGTCAAGTTCAGTCTACCTAGCAGCGGCCAGCGATGGCTGAAGGCGAAGCTGACGGCGCACAGACGTTATGTACGCTTCCAGCAAGCTAGATACCTAGCTGACTGGCCGGCTAGCTCGCTTGCCCGCTTTATCTCCAGTAATGCCGACAGCGTTGACGTTCACGTAACGCTCATCGAAAGCTAGCTACTAGCGTAAATTAAACTTGCAATAAACGCTTCTTTAATACAACAACAACAACAACTGAACAACGACGACAGTAATAGTCAAATATGCCATACAAGCTACTGTGTCACAATAAAAAGACAAAAACTTCCGCAAAGGTTTCGCTGCCCCGACATGTCTGAGCGCCATGTAGGTGGAGAATTTGAGCAAAAAAATTGTTGATTTTTTTTGAAATTCTGATTTTGGTGCGTTTAAATTTTTGTTTTCATTTATTGTTTGTTGTCATTTTGTTGTTATTATATTTTTCGTTGCTGCTGCTGCTTCTGTTCAATAGCCCATTATCATGTCTTATGTACTTCGTAGCATCGTTTCAGTCGAGTATTTTCAATAGAGGTAAATAATATCAAAGTACAACAATCTATTGTTATCGTTTTTTACCGCCTCTCCAGTCCATGTCATCCCCTCAGCAAAAAAAAAAAAAAAAAAATGGTCACAACACATGAATGCTGTGACGCGAATCAAACACCCCCAATAATCCATACCTCCATTCAACCATCCATCCATCCATTCTAACTCTCCATTGTAATGTGATTGCGAGTGCGGTTTGAATTGATTTGATTTCAGAGAACAACAAAAAGTAAGTCAAGTTTAACATCGAAACACACTGACAGACAAATTGTCGAAATTGTAACAGTGTTTTCGGAGAAGATAAGAATTGAATTGAAATCGCATTTTCTGGGTCAATCGGACGAAATTGAGGAATTAATTTTCCCCAAAATAAGCGAATAACCTCGAGGGGAATTCAATATGTAAGATAGAGTTAAATACAATACGGTCGAATTTTTAATACCCTCCACCATTCAGAAAGAAAAATCTTTGACGAAATGCTCTTAAGAGCCGAAATCGAGTACTCCAGCGCTTTATGTTAAGACCAAAGAAAAAATATCGAAATGTTATTCTTGAAGAGCCGCATATCGATACAACTCAGAAAGGTTCAGTTGATGTTCTCAGTGATATACCTTCAGCATGTATACCCTTTTTGAGGGACGTAACAACATTTGGAATATCAAAAATCGGACATTGATTTCCCATCTTAATGAAGTTATTATTACTCAAAATTTTTACCTATAGGGTTCCTCCCTACATACATGAGTGACCCGATATTATTGGAATATATAGTTTGAACTATATCCGCCACACCTTTCACGCAATATGGAATTTTGGTTTTTTAGGCAACCTTTTTTGTTTCTGTGAAAAGAATAGACCGATATATTAGATTTTTGTACTTGCGGTAAATAGACCAAATTTTTAGGATATCCTGACTTCGATTTAAATCTTTTGTGTCTCGTATCATTGCTCGTTACCGTGAAAGGACGGCAGAAAACAGCAACATCAGCAAAAATGGATCGAAAAGTAAAGAAGCGACTTGATCGAAACTCGCGTCGCAGTGGCCGAAAAATGGCTCGTGAGCTGAACATATCGCAATATTCCATTCGGCAAATATTGAAAACTTAGCTCGGGGTAACGCCATTGAAATTCCAAAAAGTGCAAGAACTTACACCGCAAGAGAAAAAAAATAGACTCAAAAGAGCTAAAGAGTTGATTCGCTTGGCCGAACGTGGTGAACTGCCGAATTTGGTTTTCTCCGATGAGAAAACATTCGTTGTCCCGAAGTTTAAAAACAAACAAAATGATAGTGTTTACTTGCCAAAGAGGTTAGCACCTTCGATTGGCCATCAGAATTCAAGCTCCGGTCATGGTGATGGTGTGGGCCGCCATAACAGCCGATGGTCGCTCTCTGCTCTATTTATCGACCGTGGCATCAGAATAAATTCCGAATATTATCTCGAATTTATTCTAAATGGTGTATTAAAGCCTTGGGCACGCAAACATTTTGGCCGCAGACCTTCGACACTGCAACAGAATGGTTAGAAAATGAGGTTCCTAGCATCATTTCCAGCGAACAATGGCCACCAAAATCTCCGAATACCAATCCGTTGGACTATTGTGTATGGAGTATTTTGGAAAACAAGGTTGGCACTCAAAAATACCAAAGTGTTGATCACCTCAAGCAAGCGCTTCGCCGGGAATGGACCAACATACCGCAGTTCGGGCAGCGTGTTACGGTTTTATTGGCTTTTGAGGATCATAATTCGTGCCAAAGGTGACCAATTCGATTTAAACTTATTCTAAAATTTGATGCTATTTCCGACATTTTTTGCTTTCATTCAATAAAATTTAAAAAAAAGTAAAAATTAAAGCATTTGACTTTGTTGCAGTTTTTTATCTCACCCTGTATATGTAGTGAACTAATTGGAAATATAGAAAGATGTCATCAAGAAGCTATACTTGTAATGAGGCTTTCCTTTTTGCTTTGTAAAGTTTTGTTTCTCTTTAAGGCCTAAAAATATATATGCAAAATTTGATCGAAATCGGTTCAGATATAGCTATAGCTCTCATATATATTGTTCATCCGATTTGTTATTTTTGTCCTTCGCAGCCGTAATATGTACTCTGCAACAACAATATTTAGGGAAATATATCAAATACAGCTCAGAAATATATTTGCCAAATTTTATCGAGATCGGTTCAGATTTGGATATAGCTCCCATATATAACTTGTTCCGATTTACCTCTTATTGTGCACCAAACGTCTAATATTTGTCTAAATGGGATAGAATTTGGCACTTACGACCGAATTGAGTCTAGAAGCTAGTGTGTCAAATTTGGTGAAGATCGGTTCAGATATAGCTATAGCTTCCATATCGGATGAATAGATTTGTTATATTTTGTTACCCACAACCGTAATATGCACTACGTATCAACGATATTCAAGGAAATATATCAAATACAGCTCAGAAATATCTTTCCCAAATTTTTACGAGATCGGTTCAGATTTGGATATAGCTCCCATATATATTATTATCCGATTTTAAATTATTTGTGCACCAAATGGGCAACACATGTCCGAATTTAAAAGATAAAAATGCTTCGGCATATTTAGTCCTTTGAACTTTAAATTATAATTATAATCACAGCGTGTATGATTGAATTCTCCCATAAAAACTTGTAATTATTAAGTGGAGCTCTACTAAATTAGCAAAGTGGTGTAGGGTATCATAAAGTCGGCCCCGCCCGACTTTAAGACTTTCTTTACTGGTTTTTAGCTAAATATATTTTTGTATACTTTTCATAGTGTGCTTCAGCGTTTCTATATGCCATTAAATCATCATCAAACAAATTTTGCAAATTCGATATATTTAATACCAGAAATATTAGAAAAATTCGAGAAAAAATGATCAGAAATATAAATTCGATACTTTTGCAATTAGCCAATAATTTACGTACATATAAAAGCGTACATTCATTTATTGGAAAATTGGCATTTTCCAAGTGTTGGAAATTCAATATATCGAATGTCATAGAAAATATATGTATGTAGTTAAGTTATTGAAAACTTTTTTGGTTCAGTGAACAGACTGCTTGTAGCCTTTGGTATTTGGATATTATTTCATAATGAAAAACAAATTTTAAAGATTTCATATCGAAAAAAAAAAATATGATTTTCTTCTGTGCAAAGTCAGTTCCATTAAACTTGAGGAAAATGATGGGCGGCAAATGTACAAAAGATTTAAAAAGAAATTACAAATAAATAAATTAATTAAGATAATCGCTGCGTTTAATTGAAATGATTTAAATAACGGCACTAAAATGGTTGTAAGTAGATTAATTGTTATGTTTCCTAGTTGATGAGTGAATGTCGTTACCTTTTTTCTGCAATAGATTATTTAAATAATCAATTTATTTAAGCGGGATTAAATAATTGCCGTTTACTGGGGAATATTTCTATTAGTGTTAAATTTAATCTAATTCGAAGGAAATATAAAGCCAATGAATAATAGAAAGCTGAAGTGATTTTTCGAATTTTAAAATATTTTTCAATATTTAGTCATTTTAAGGTTTTACCACGTTTCGAGTTTTCTGAAGGTTAAAATTCCCTTAGCAAAATATCGTTTTAGAGTTTTGCCTTGTTAAGGCGAAGATCATATGTTTTATGATTTATGTGTTTGTTTTCTCTTTCGAGACGAGCTTAATGATCAGGAATTTGCAGTGAAAAGGAAAGCCAGATAGACACTATCACACACTCACCACTATGCGACGCTTTTCGCCGTTGGTTAAACGGCTCATCAGGCATATTTGGTGTGGATGATGGCTTACAAGGGCCGTTCTCTGGAAAGTAGTATATATTTCGAACTTATTGCAAATTAGCATATGCGAATTATACACTAGAAACTCTCCAGGTTCGACTCAAGTTCTATTGGCAGATCTTTTTCACAGCAAATTTATTAATTTTTATTAAACAATTTCGTGGCATTTTTAAACACTTATCATTTATTGGGCTTTAAATAAGAATTAAATAGAATTCTGACAATACTTGAATTGGGTGGACTTTTATGGGGATCCCAAATGATGCTTTAAGAACAAGTTAGAAAATGTTAGTTGGTTTCCCGAAATATATATACCGTCAGCATAAGTTTTGGCAAAAGTCAGCCTTTTTTGAATCTTTGTGCTTGTTTCGAACTTGACCTATAAACCAGTAAAATGAATTTCACATTTTTAGCAAGTAAGCTAAGGCTACAGTCGAGCGGGGCCGACCGTTGAATACCCTACAACACTATAATAAACGATACGATACAGCAAAAGATTAACATTTATTATTGGTGTTTAACTGAAACGTATCTATATGAGATACAGACATTTGACTATATTCTTCAACGAAATTAGCGTTACCGAAATAGTCAGAAGTGCGTCTTTCCTGTATTTGTGAGTTCTCCAAAAAGTCACTGGAATGGACATTTTCGTATTTTGTCTACA